CAGGATTTGGGCAATCCTTTTTAACATAAAGATTAACAGGAACAAAGAATAAGTTAATAACAGGAAGAAAAATAGTTTAGATACGGGATTCTTTTTAATGTTGCCTATTTCTACAGATTTACGTGTCAAACGGCACCTGTGTTAGACAAAATTTACGAATTAAAAAAATGAATTCAATACTACTATGAATCAACTGTTTTAACTTACTTACTATAATATATATAATTACACGATTAAAGTTAAAAGTCAAATTTTTCTAATGAATTCAAGCTTAGCCTTCGTATTTTATTATCTATATACAAAATAGTGTCATATTACATAAAGAATTGTTATAATTACGTACTTTTTCAATTGCAAATTGCAATAACGTGAAATAATATGAAATAATTAATACAGGAGGCAGAAGACATATTATTACAATACTCGTGTATATTTCTGAGTCTTGTGAGAAAGTAAGCAAAGTTATCTGTAGTGTATTTAAAGCAGCTAATTACATTAATAATGATACAATTGTTGATAAGTTTATCATATTTACCTAACGAGGAGCCGTGTTGTCGAATAAACAAACTTCTATTGATACCGGTGGGATTTCAGTTTATCTATTTGCCTATATAAATAACTTTGCTTCCGTGGTGGGGTTTTCGGAAGACATGTTTGAACGGGAATTTGAATCCGTTCATGTTTCTTCTAAAGTTGTCACAGATAACTAATGATGACGAACGGTCAAAGACCTCGTGAGCCGCTTGTTCATTTTAACGAGCAGTTTTCGTCACCAGGTATTTTTATTAACAGTTATTATTCGACGACTCGATAGGCGTGGGGAGTAGTGCCTTTGCGCCGAGGGTGTGGGCTCGATCCCCGCTACTGGAAAAATATCGTGTGATGAACAAAGTGTTGTCTGGCTGTTTATATAATATGTTTTTATCTACAAAAGAAAAGTATGTTTATCAGTTCCCTAGTACCCATAGTACAAGCATTGTTTACTTTTGGGAGTAGAGAACGTTGTGTTAAAATGTGTTCAAACATGTTTAATTTATTTATTATTGTTGTATTTAACATTAACATTAAATAAGTTAGCAATGAATAATATTTCAGTTCCAGTTTGATACTGACGAATATCGAAAATAATGTTATAAAATTAGCTTTTATGTTTACCACGCTTTTATGTTTACAACTCAGATGAGGCGATTTGGTACGTGGGACTATTTTTTTATGTGAGAATGTGGCAAACGACCTGGCGATTCACCTGATGTGAAGTGATAACCGCCTGCCCATGGACATTTGCAACACCCGTAAGAATGGGCAGGTCCGTCCGGGTTAGTATTACGACCTCACAGAAGACCGGCGTAAAGTAGAAGTGTTGCACTTCTGCGTTTCGTCTGGTGAGTGAGGTAGCCGGGGCCCACATTATTAAGAGATGGCAACGCATCTGCAACCCTACGGGTGTTATAAATGTCCATGAGCGGTGGTTATAACTTAAGATCAGGCAGTGGCGGATTTACAAATATGCCGCCAATACGCTGTTCAGTTTTTGCCGCCACTATTGACCTCTGAAATTCGATACCCTTTTTTTTTTTCGTGGGAATAATCCTTTATGGATCCCTTGCCACTGGATGGGAGAAGTGGCAGGGGTATGTGGGAGTCCCGTTAAAAACGGCTACCCACTAAAAACGACGTTAACGACGACCCACGTTGCACCTGTCTCAGCCGGGGACACGGGAACACGTGAACGCAATCTTCCGCGACCCCGGCGCGACTATGGCCCCTTTAGGCCTCCTCTACTACATAGTGCTGTGCCCGTGCAATTGGCACAGCACACGTCACGAGCCCCATATTGAGCGACAGACACTCCCATGTCTGCCGCTCAGGAGCTCACTATCAGGGGGGAAGGTTGCGCGCGTAGGCCAGCCTCCTGCGCTCTGGTCTCCGGCGGCGGATTTCCAGGGTGGCAGTTGCCTCCCTTTCTATCTCCGCGGCCTCCTTCCGGGTGATAACGTCCTCGCAGTATGCGAGGACAGCAGAAATTCGATACCCTAGTTCGCAATCATATTAGTTACATTTATTCTGTCAATAAAAATGCTACTTTACGATTTGTGCTCTATAGACTTCAATACGTCAGATTTTAGGGTTCCGTAGGGTAAAACGGGACCCTATTACTAAAACTGTCTGTTGGTCTGTCCGTCTGTCACCAGGCTGTATCTCAAGAACCGTGATAGTTAGACAGTTGAAATTTTCACAAATGATGTATTTCTGTTGCCGCTTTAGCAACAAATACTAAAAAAAAGAATAAATATATATTTAAGTAGGGCTCCGATACAACAGACATGACTTTTTTGCCGTTTTTATAGATAATGGTACGGAGAACCCTTCATGTGTGAGTCCGATTCGCACATGGCCGTTTCTTGTTATAAGAATGATTTTGAACTAGGGTTTCCTTGGATCAGTTTCTAGATTTTTTATAACCCACTATTTAGTGAAGATTGCACGAAAAATAGTCTTAGGTATATTTCCGAGATGAGAAAAGTCAATAAATGTTCTAATTATAAAACGGGTAAAGGTATGCCTTAAAAATGCTGTAATTTTAATATATACTGATTACTATAAAAAAGTTTCTGTAAGACAAACATTTTGGGCCAAATTTGCCGCCCCCTAAAATCTGCCGCCCTAGGCTGTAGCCTACTCTGCCTGCTGGTAAATCCGCCACTGAGATCAGGTAAACCGCCGGCTCGCTTGCCACCTTCTCGCATAAAACAAAATAAAGTCGTCTGGCTTTGTCATGGTGAAAGATAACGCCCTTTCTGTTTGTTGATCGATGCCGGCTGTTTGTAATGAATATCGATATGATAGCGATCGTTCAGACAATCGGATAATAGGGATCCGACATTGTTACTTCACTCAATATCGTATAAGAGAGATATGCGCGTTTTATCCAAAAAAAAACTTATCAGTTCGATGTATTTTGCGTTATTGAATTTACGCGTGCAGTTATAATAATTTTCACAATTTTTATGGTCATAATTTAATTATGTCATGGTAGCTCAGTGTACGGACGCTTGCCTTTAATTTAATATACTCGAGAAACCTCGAGTTCGAACCTCGAGAACCGGCACCGGAGATCGAATCGATTTTCGAGTATTTTTTTTATGTTTATTACCTCTGAACTTTTCACTGAGGGAACCGATTTTGATGATTATTTTTTTTTTTGAAAGCAGGTGCTTCCCATGTAGTCACAGGGAACTTCTGAAAATCAATTATAAAATGAATACAGAGCGAGATATTTGAAGTCGGTTTGGTTTTTCGTTATTAAAAAAAATGGTTATTATGATTTATCACGTTCACAACGGCGTAGGACAACAACGTAAGGAAAACTGCATATGTTCGAAATATAACTAATAATAACAAAATAAAAAAAAACTTAGATATGTGAAGTCCTCCATTTCGCAGTGGGGTTGCATTGTGGACTATACTCTAATACTCTCCGTAGAGAAGAGGCTTTTGCTGAGCGGTGGAATATGTATAGCCTATACAATTGTAATTAGTTGGTCGATTGCAAAAATCTAAATTAAAACTTTTGCTCTATATTTTGTTGCAGGCGTTTAAAATATCCCCTTGCGAACAGATTTAAATACGAAAGTAAATAAATTAGCAATACGTTTTGTTTGTGGAACTTTGCAGTAATATTAATAATTTTCAACTTTAATTGAATACATTTTGACAAATTACTTACATATATATACTTATTACAAACATTATGAAACAGCTGTGACAGCCGAATTGGAGCAGTGAAATTACAATACAAAACACAATCAAAACATTAAAATTAAATATAAAGTAAAGTAACGTCCTATACATATCCCACTGCTGGACAGAGGCCCTTTCTGTACAGAGGGTTTTAGGACATAGTCCAGCACGCGACCCCACAGCGGATTGGCGACCTCACCTACCTTACATACATATTTTCGAGATATTTTTTCTCCCAAAAATGTGCAAATCTCCTCGAGACGTTTTCCTTCACCGCTGAGCACGTGATAAGACAGCACTTAAAATTAACAATTTCATTTGCGCCGACACCGGGATCACACTCAGGTTGCTCGAGTACATTTAATTAAAAACAAGTGCCCAGAACAATTAGCTATCACGGCTCGGACTTGACTACAGACACATTATAAACGAGTAAATTTCAATTATGCCAGAAATATACGGGTACATATTTCAGTTATATAAAAGTTATATGGTCGCAATATGGTTGGATGACGGCAACAGGATATCATTTCACTCTAGTGCGCTTTTGTAACCTTGCGGGTGTTGCAAATGAATGGGCGGCGGTTATCATTTAAAAGCAGGTGGACTGTTAATTCGCTTGTCATATTCTCAGTTAAAAAAAACACAGCACCTGTTCCTGTCCTGATTCAGCCACAATAACACATGGCAATAACCATGCGTGATTGGCATGTTTCTTCGTCTTATCTCAATTGCTGTGCGACAGTGTACAATCTCTAAATTTATTATTGCCGGGCATAAGTCACATTCATTTGTCTTGAATAGTATTCATTGAATTCTCTTGTTCAACGACCACTTAAATCACTCCTTTGATAACTGTAACAGATATTTTGATTGGTAATCTGAGGGTTCTGTACAATTTCTGATCTATTTACTCTGTTCCGTAGTAAAGACAAAGTAAAGTAAAATCAATAAAATTAATTCAGGGTAATTAGTAATGCAAATATTTGGACTGCGGTAGGGCTTCGAAGTAGGTGCTGTTACCCAATTCCTGTTTTTTTTTCTAATTGTTATTTTAAAATTACTTTTTTATTTTGAAATGAAAAATTTTACAAACCACGATTTCTCCTCACGCTTCGGGTTGACTGGTAGAGACTACCAATAGGCATTGAGTGCGCCATTTGAAAACCCTTTTGAATGTGTTTCAATAATAAATAAACAAAAATTATATAAATACATAAGATTCCTTTCCCTCTTTCTTCTTCCAGTCTACTTAGAAAATGGAGGGAGGAAATGACGTATGTCCTGAAGGTTCAAGTTTGCTCTATTAATCGGTGTCTGGGGGCGGTGGGAGCTGCCCTGGAACATGGTTTAGCCGTGCTCGTAATATAACTAATTGGTTATGTGTTAGCACTATATATAGGTTTAGGTTCTGGCTGAATTTGACTCAACAATTCGAAATCAGTGCGTGCGTATTCGACGCCAAAAGCCAATTTTGAAATAGCAAGTATTTATTTACAGGACAAAAGGCACCAATGCGTGTTAAATCGACGTAAAATATGCCATCTCCATTTTTTCTTCTATATATCGATTAAAGACATTGCGACATGAAGTGAACTAGCCTATATACGAATTTTATGTCTTCTAAACGCGATTAACCCATTTTGTAATCGTTTAGCTAAAGGTAATACAGAACTACTTGCTAATCGTAGACGCAGAAAGTACTAATAAAAATGGACCACAATCTATTTGGTTTATAAATAGGTCATAAATAAAAATATTCGCTTCAAAAGTAACACTTCAAAATAATCGAGGGATCTCTAAAAGTTCTAAGTGAAAGTTAAGAATGAATTATGGTCGCAAACAATGATGTTTAATAATATAGATGACGCATGCCCATACTGCGGGGCATTTAAAAATAGTTTCGCTTTGCATTATATTTTATTTTATTTTATTTGTAAAACTTACAGTGATTAAAAGTACTTAAGAAGCCATTTATAAGTCTTCACATTTAGTAGTCTTAATTTGTAGATATCATAGAAAATAAAAATACAAGGAAAAAAAATGACCATGAGTACAATGACATTAACTTGATAGGAAAGACAACAGTAAAGCTATTATTTTTTTAACTAAAAAACTAATCCTTTGGAGTACTTTGGCAACCGCTGGTGAGATTGAGGGGGAAATGGGTCATCCATTTGCTCATTCATAAATTTTGCTGTCCTTATCATTAAATAATTATAATATATAATATGACATATCTATGTGACAGATGATATATTAAACATATGTGACATATTAAACGGAAAGTGATAGCAGTCTATAGAATTACACCAATTGGTGTAATTCGAGTGCCTCAGTTTCGGTGCGCTAGTGTCATATCTATTGTGTATAATATCATAGGTCGCAAAGCAATTAACCGAATAAGTAATGACTGGGCCGCAATTACAATATTCAATAACAATATGTCCGGGCGCAAACAAATTAATATGTAAACAAAACGATAACGGATTTTTATCATTGCGAGGAGATTGATGTGAGTAAGGAGCCCCTGAGTCGCCATTGTGTTTGCAATTATCGTACGGATGGAGTCTTGTGTTCTTTTTCACTCAAAATTTCATTCGCACATGTGAGATAAACGTTTACGAAAGTCTGCGTCGCGAACTGTCATCGCGTGAGTATGACTTTGGTTTTTTTTAATCGATATTTCTCAATCGGCCAGTTTGAGAACGATTTTTGTTTTAAAAAAAATGGTCACCAACATTTCGGTTGTGTCATTCATGGATTCGCTCGAAATATTATGAAAAAATCAATATTAAACAAATAAATGTAGAGCTTTTTGGTCATATGTAATGACTTCTTGTAACATGCAAAATTCTAATACGTTATTATTAGTGCTTCATTAGTATTTTTCTAAGATATTTTCTAAGCCTTTTTCTAAGATATCCTGTTTTTTCTATTTAGAAAATGGAGTATTTGAATGATGTTTTTTTTAATTTGTGGTCTAACATTATTATTATATAAATATGTTAATTATAGTATTAGTAATTTTGTGAAAATATATTTAGAAATATAAATATCCTGTACCTGTTTTTTCATCACGTTCATATTTTTTATTCGTTTTGTTCTCTAGACATATAGATATATGTTAAGTATCTACTGTGAATACGAAAAGTTGAAACAAAACGTGTTTTGTAGCGAAGCACTGACGTAACGGAATACATGTTCATAGATTGTAAATTGGCATAATAAACATCAATAATAAGAACAATTGGGACCTTTGCCCAGCAGTGGGATACTTCGATGATACTTCACTTCACCAACAATCAGTTAAAAGTAATCATTTATGAAAATAAATAAAAAATCATATAGTGCAATAGGTGGCCGTTTGTACTGCTGTTTTTATTAAAGTCCGATTGTGGGTTTGAGAAGCACGTGTCAACATATGCGATTATATACCACCAAATTGGCGTGGGGAGTAGTGACCCTGCCTCCTCCGCCAGAGGGTGTGGGTTCGATCCCCACTACTGGAAAAATATTGTGTGATGAAAATTGTATTTATTTACAAAAGAAAAGTATGTGTAAGTAGGTTTATCAGTATTCTAGTACCCATAGTACAAGCGTTGCTTAGTTTGGGACTAGAGAATGTTGTGTAAGAAATGTGTCCGAAATATTTATTTATTTATTTAGGTATATTCTTTTGAGGAATTTGTTGTTTTGCTCTGTTCGATTAAAACAAAACAAACAAAGCGAAATTATATACCAATTTCGCCAATATTTCTTTAGTATTGTCATTGTAAGGAAATGCATATTTTTAAGGATTACGTATAGTAATGTCTTCATAGTTTTTTATCATGGCCTAGCTAGGGTCATGATGACTACATTGTTAAAAAACTGACTTTAAATTAACTAAACATTTGCTGTTGTATTTCCATCGTGGAAATGGAAATAATAATTATAAATGGAAGGGAAGGCGAGTGAAAGACAGATTGTGGGAAATAATTCTTAATTTTTATAATGCCATTCTGTGCACTTAAGACAAAATTTAAAAATTTGTAGAGTAGAAGTCTTTATAAAATTGTAGAAAATGGACGAAAAGCTTATTTCCGTCGCGAGAATTTGAATCTGCGTCCTCCGGGTTACGCTCCCGACCTCTTAGCCACTGAGCTAAACGGCCTATATAAAAACTTAAAACCTTTTTTGTAAAACCTCGTTGCTTATGTACCAACATTATTTATAGATATACCACCAGCGTAATGGAAGCCGAGAAGAGACAGAAAATAGACTCCCTTCCCGTACACAAATCGAAAAACATGGAAGCAGACCTCGAAGAGGCTTTAGAGATTGCGGGTAAGTTTCAATTTGGATTAGCTTTTTTTTTTAAAAGTGAAAAAGTGGCAAAAAGCAGGCGTTTCATCTGATGTTAAGTAAAAACCGTCGCCCATGGTCACTTGCAAATGCGTTGCCACAGTAAAACTTCAATTTCTTACACAAATTTTTCATCACTAACAGTGTAAATGTAAGAATTGCACAGACCACAATATTTTTTAAATATTAAATAGTGAGCATTACACAAAGTACGAGTACTTATACAGTTGATGACATATTGATCTATTGTAGTGTTGTGGTAACAAATCTTCATCTTTTTTTAAAAATTATTTAACCATAAACTACTTTTAGATACTGATATTAGGCACGGTTGCATGGTATACGTTTTATTTTATAACTATATAATCTGTTCATCAAATAAGCACAGACATTCGAGTCAGATTTCCTAGATTTCTCACTATTCAGAGGTTAATCCCCACACGTCTTGTCATTCGAATACTTACCGTAAATATGTTACCATAAAGTTTATAACTTGTCGAAAGAATTTGCATTGACTCTTTATTGTCTGAATCATCTATTTGTGTGCTGTGAAAATTATGAATAGTGTAAGAGAAGTGATTCATGAAATGGTATTTCATGATGCCATGTCTGTCTACCTGAGAACAATATTTGCGTTTTCGATTACAATAGAAATTTTCTTTGTTCTCATTTTCATCGCTGGATCCGAAAGCCGCTTTATTTGTGGTACTGATACGAGCATTTAATATGTTCTTTGTAAAATGGGACTTGCTGTAAAGTTTATTTTTGAAATCTTAATTAGGAAATTAATATAAATACATAGAGTATACGCAATACATTGGTAATACATTAGTGATGATTCTTCCTTCTTTGAGGAAACGTGGACATTAAGTTACCGGTACACACGATGCTAGGTTCTTACTTCCATCTATGATATTTCCTTTATTTTTCTTTAAACCTTTAAGAGCCCGTGCCCCGGTTACCTCACTCATCAGATGAATTACTTTTTAAAGGTACGTTTAATATTTACAGGTTTTGGCAAATATCAATATTTCCACTGCGCTCTGATGGTCGTGACCTTGGCAGCAGCTCTTGTGGAAATGATTGGATGCTCCTTCATCCTACCTTCAGCAGCCTGCGACCTGGACTTACCGGATAGTCTGAGAGGAATTTTGGCATCCATACCCAATATAGGTACTACATACCCAGTATAGATACGTTGTACTTTAGGATATTATCAAACACGGTAGTGAGAGAGGCAGACGGCCTAGTTGATTGACAGTCTGTTTTTTGGATACCAAGTTAGAAAAATCCTCAGCCTACCTAAAGACCAGGGTAAATACAGGTTGATGTGAGCTTCCGACCCACTAAACACTATTTATTTCTCACTCTCAGTCTGGCGCCGATCTTTATGTAAATTTTGGTAGGGTTAGATTGAATTCTGTCGAAGACGCAATTAGAATAAATGAAAAAAATCACATAAGTTGTTTAGTGCTATAATGGAATCGTTATTCTTTTATCTTAGTATAGTTAATTCGTGATGGATTAATGTAATATATAAGAGAGAATTGTGATCGAAAGAAATGTTTTAATGAGGGTCAGTTACTCAGTTCTGCTCTAAACATAATCACGCCACAAATTGTGACATTGACAAATATATGTTGTATGTATACTTTTTCCGCTTGTTCGACTGAAATGGTCATTGGATTCGAAGTCACTTGATTGCTAACCCTTGCATATAAATACACGCTATTCTATATGCACGGCTGATTGCAGTACATCAGGGTGACTAGTAATTTTTACTACCCTTTATGATTGATTAAATACCTTTTTGGAGAACGACGAATACCGTGATAAGCAATATTAAAGCAAGTATTAGTAAAATAAATAGTGTGTTTTGATGGAAATACGTTTAATTATAGAATTAAAGATATGATCGTGGCATGAAAAAAGATATTTCGTTGTAGGGCACAAACACAAACGCCTAAAAATTTTTGTAGATTAATATCGAATGGTAGTAAATTGCTATTATGACATTGCAGGCGTTATCCTAACGGCACCATTGTGGGGCAGGGCTGCAGATTCTTTGGGCCGTAAGCCGGTTCTGCTATTATCTTCGGCTATCGCCGGCTTTTTGGGTTTCACAGCAGCCTTCATGCCTTCGTTGGTGACATTTGCACTGTGTAAATTGGCGGGATCATTTTTGTAAGTTTAACGAATTTATTCAAAACTATACACATTCAATAATAAACCATGCCAATAAGATGTTTTACGTATTGATGTTGACTTGACGTCTTCCTACGCCACAATAATCGAAGTTTGTTTTGACATCGTAATTACTATGTATGTATTGTATTTTTGGCACATATTGGCGATTTAAAACTTATCTCGTGTACGCGTTGTGTTGGTTCCTAGATGCTTGTGGGTGAGGACGAACTACAGTGTGTTGTAGATTAACACTAAATAAATGTTAACTGTGGTAGAGCAACCAAACATTCTTCGCTGATGCACGAATGGACAGGTCTATCCGGGTAAATAACACGACTTCACAGATGACTGGCGTTTAAGTACAAACGTAATTCTTTACGTTATATTGCGTTTTTTCTGGTGAGTCAGGTAACTGGGGCTCATTCATCAAAAAGTAGCAACGCGTCTGCAACCCTATGGGAGTTGCAAATGTAAATGGGCGGCGGTTATCACTTAAAATATGTGAACTGTTTAGTCTCTTATCCTTTATATATATATATTTAATCGGAATCTCGGAATTGGCTCCAGCGATTTTCATGAAATTCAGTATGTGCGTAGATTCGATCTAGCTAGGTTTCATTTTTAGAAAATGTCCTTTTATCCCTGTTTTCAGGGAATGAAAAATATCATTCGAATACGACGGTAAAATTCGCCGCAAAAAAAATTTATAATAGCTCGGTCGGTAATCGGGCGGCCCCGAAACAGAAGGCCGTGGTTCGTGTCACGATCATTTACACACTTAATTTTTTTACTTTTTTTTCTATCTCAGATCATTTTCTTTATTTTTTTATTTTTTTTTATTTCCAAAATACATAATTTACCAAAAAAAACGAGCAAAGCTCGGTCCTCCAGGTACTATTACTTTATAGAGGACACTAAACGTCGGCTATCGCTGTACATGTGTGAAATTACTTTGATACTATCTCGCATCGGTTACTTGGGCAACATATGCGAAATATTTTCAAGCGTGGGATGTTTCAATTAATCTTATGTTTCTAATGACTAGCCAAATTAGGAAATCTTTTACTTAGAGTCGAGTTGTTAATCACTCATAAGTCGGCACTTAAAATTGCAATTAACAATTCCATTCATGCCGGCACCGGGCAACTAAAACTCAGATTGCTCGAGTGTACTACATTAATAGCGAGCGCCCGTTACTTTTTGTAGTTAGTTGGATAATTAATTAATTGGTATTGTATTTAATTGGAATTATTATTATTATTGGAATCAGTATTACACGCTTGAGTTAAATCTTTATTAAGGGATCCACTAGTGTAACGTTGATAGGTGGTACAATTATCCAATCTTTGCAGCTTGTCATGTCCGTCTTCTCTCTGCTACGCTTACGCTGGAGAGCTGATGCCGAGGAAGAAGCGGGATAAAACGCTTCTTGTCTGCAATGCGCTACTTATGCTGTCCGCTTCCTTAACTCCTAGTGAGTAACCACTAATCATGACATTATAGATCTGGCAAAACTTAACTAGCTTATTCTTAAACGCCCGCGTGAAGTTGGCACTGTCCGAATAAGTGTTGGTAAATTGTTAATTTTATGGAATTTTGATTCACTTTGTGCCATGGTACTCGTAATAAGTGGCAGGGTCAGGTAGGGAAATTATATATTTCTTTTGTGCAAGTGTATCAATGTTTGAACACTAAAGTCTTCAATCAATGTGTGTTGCCAGTGATGTGTGACCTACGGAACTGAGACGTGGTCCTTCACTGCTGGCCGTATGAGGAAGCTCAAAGTCGCTCAGCGAGCTATGGAGCGGGCTATGCTCGGTATTTCTCTGCGTGATAGAGTCGTAACGAAGACATCCGCAGTAGAACCAAGGTAACGGACATAGCTCAGAGGATTAGCAAGCTGAAGTGGCGATGGGCTGGCCATATAGCTCGTAGAACCGATAACCGTTGGGGAAGAAAAGTTCTCGAGTGGCAGCCTCGTACTGGCCATCGCAGTGTGGGACGACTCCCCACTAGATGGAGTGACGACCTGTGCAAATGTGCGGGAAGTCGATGGATGCAGGTGGCTCAGGATCGTACTTCGTGGCAGTCTATGGAGAGAACATAGGCCGTTCGGCAGTGGACTCAAACAGGCTGAAATTATGAAAATAAAGATACCCTAAACTGATAATATTTCCATTCGCAGTTCTGGCTTGGACCATTCTATCGAACGAATGGACTGGTCTCAAGCCTTGGCGTTTACTGACGACTGTTTACGCTCTGCCCCTGATCCTGTCCTCGCTGTGCCTCACGCTGGCGAAGGAGAGCCCCAAGTTCCTCGTGACCAGGGGAAAGTACGACGAGGCACTGGTCGTCTTACGCCACATTTACTCCTTGAACAGTGGCATGGAACAGGATAGCTTTTGCGTGAGTGTGAACGATGCTTCTACACGGAACTTATATAGACAAGCAAAAAGAATCGTTCAAATCTATCAAATCGTAAAATTCAATAACCGGGTAATGCATGAAAGTAGCTTATATAAAGCTAACCAGTGAAGCTGCTATCAGATTCTAGCTATAACCACGGCTTTGTGGTTTTCTTACATTAGATATTGTAAACCTGCGGGATTTCATGTCATATTTTGTATGTGAGAAGGTGGCCACCGACCTGACGATTCACCCGGATAAGTAATAACCGTCGACGTTGGACACTTGCAACACTCGTAGGTTCTCAGGGTCATTGTCACCTTTTAATAAAGTAGGATCCGGTTACCTCACCCACCAGACGAAACACAGAAGAACAAGACTACCACGAAGGTCTTCTTTCAGGTCGTGGTACTTCCCCGGACGGACCTGCCCATTCGTGCAAAAGCGAACTGTTACGTGGCTCTACCACAGTTTTGATTTATCTTTTCCTTGTGTTTCACGGTGACACAAAATATCGTTAATAAACCTGTATATTTAAATAATAAAAAACTTTCCTATTGTCATTAGACACCCTCGGTACATGGTGGTGATCCAGCACTGTCTACAAGCCTAACTATGAACCCTGGACTGAGAATCAAAGTGCTCCACATGTGTTTACCGTACTTTGAACTTTCAGGTGGAGTCCTTAAAGAGGTCGATTGACGAGAGCGGGAGGGAAATACGGTTGGACACCGCTCAAATTGACCGGAAAATTTCTGCGCTGAGCCTCCTGCGTCCACCGCATTTGCAATGGCTGGCGCTTCTTGGGTTCCTCATGTTTGGCCTGTTCTCGTTGTAAGTCCAAATTCAGTTGATTCTTATGCGTATTCTGCACATGAATTTTCAGGGGCTACTTTTGTTTTATACTTTATTTGTCTTATTATATAAGAAGAAAAAATAAATAATAAACACTAATCTCGACCTGTTTCGTCTAGACAATGAAGTATGTGGAGCTGACTTTTTATAAGGCGGCGAAGCATCTGCCAACTCTCGGGTGTTGCAGATGCCCATAGGCGGTGGTCAGGTCGGTTACCATCAGGTGAACCATCAGCTCTTGCGTTAAAAAGTCATGCGTTTATCGAGTTACGACCTGAAGCAAATATATTTATTAACAGATTTGGTTATTTCAATTATCTGATTCATATCTTTCTTTTCGTTTTGCTAATATAAATATTTTTCTAATTAGAACTCTTAACAGTTGTAAATCAAGTCTGAAGGAGAAACAAAAGAGTTCGCTTCTGCTTTTGCCATCTCCGAAAATAATGATCGACTTGTATACTCGTACTTCTGTTATGGTAGGGCCACGCAACAGCTGCACCAATGGGCAGGTCCGTTGTGGAAGTCCGGGGAAGACCGGCGTGAAATGGAAGTATTAAACTTTCACGTTTCATCTGGTGAGTGAGGTAACCATGAGGAGGAGCACACATTTTTAAAGGTTTTCAACGCATCAGCAAGCCATCGGGTGTTGCAGATGTCCATGGGCGGGGGTATTCATTTAACGTCAGTTGAACCGCGGACTCGCTTGACAACTTTTTACATAAAATAAATATATATGTACAGAGATAGTATTTCACCGGAGTACAACGTAGATTACCGTTTTGTTCCGGAAATATGTCCAGTACAGGTTCCGTTTAGTTTCAGTAATTTTTATGACCGGGTAACACCAAAACAACAACATTTATTACTCTGCGATAAATATTGGATAGGGACAATCAGATAATTTCGGTTTCATAGAGCTTTATCTCTGTCTGTCTCTTTGTGCTTAATGCAATCGTTGCAATTTAACCAGGATTTATACGCGATATATATTAAAAGTGAGCGCCTGAACACTCAGCTATCACACGCCTGCAGTCTTCTTTTTTTTTTTTTCATTCATTTATAATGGCTGGTACTTAACGACAGATAATGATAGTAATTCGACCGATAAATATTATATCTATGTGATTTTTTTTATTGTGAAGTTAATGTTGCTTTCATTAGGTCAATGGCGTCGTGTCAAACAAAGACCCTTTTTATATGTGTCATTTGATTTAATTCGCGCGGAGTAGTCATGTAGCACTACCTGTTAGTGTGTTCACGGAAAAAAAAAAAACAAAACTTAGACTAGCGAGCTCGCTGAAACCTAGTATAGTTATAGTTGAAACACTTTACAGTTGGCATTTCGTATTTGGCTTCTCTGGTCATAATTTATGCTTATATTTGGCGACAATAATATTACAAAGGAATGAATAATGTGAGTTAAGTAATCGACGATCGGTATTCCAATAAAAAAAGATTTATTTAATTAATTACAAGATGTTAACTGTATGACAATTTGGAATGGACTGATTTATAATTACAAAAACTTATGAACTAAAACTAATGGTGTCAGCGTTCCTTCGATGCGCCTTCGCCATGCTGAGTCTGCAGTAATCGCGGTTATGACGTGCTAACTCCTCCCTCCTTAAGATAGAAGCGAGAGTTGGAGCTTCTAGCAGCGTCCTCGCTGCTGTTGATTTCCTGTGGTAGTCTATTGCTTTTCCACTTCTACAGCTTCCAGATGGCCGCTACACTCAGCAGCCCGTATAATATTAAAGTTGTCCAGCTGGGGGTTGCCATCAGGGTTGTCCAGTTGGATTCATCTTGTGGGATTTTGTCATCTATCTTGATGATGAGTTTGTGGATGCTGTCTAATGAGATATCCTCTTGAATTTATTCAAACTTGATGTGTTCTTGCGTGATTTGCTGTGCTTCAGGAAGGGGGATGGTTTCGTCGTTGAAGACTGTCCTCAGGTGGGTCTGTAGTGTGCTATTCAGGACATGTATCCGACAATCTTCAGTCAGTGTGACTATGAAAGTTCCTTTCGTTATTTTGTAGTCTGTCTTGGTGCCACAATGGATTTTGATAATTTCATCATCTTGCAGGATCAGTATCCAGCTGTTATCCCGGATTTTCTGGATTTTTCCTTTGGTCAGGTGCAGCTTGGCATAACGTGCAATTGGCTTTCTGATGTTGAACCAGCGACGCTATGCAATCTTGTGTGTTTTTCATTCTTCTGACTTCCAGGGATTTGCAGAGATGAGTGTCATTAGTGATTGGTTGGCAGTCTTCTTCCTCGATGTGGGCGTACTCATCGCTACCAAGTGCAAGGTATTTGGACTCTGGGATTATAGTTAGGTTGTTGCGGTCAGGAATGGAGTAAAGGTGAATAAAATCGTATATTTTTGAATCAACAGAGGGGATTTCCAGGATAAAGTTTATCGAGTGTGGTGTACTATATGCTTTAACCTTTATAGATTTCTCTATCTTATGTATATTTATAATATTTATCTCATCTACTGGATTCATTGAATAATAATTACGCAAAATTACTAATTCTTTAATAAGATTTTGTGGACTAATAACGCTTGGGTGCATAGTTCCTAATTGAGCGAACGTGACGGCATCTTCCAAAGTCATTAACTTTTCTAAAATTATTTGTAAACTTAAGTCTATCTGTAAATATATATCTAATAAATGAAAACTGTCCCTAATTCCATTAGAGTTTTGCGTTATATTTTGCAATATTAATATCTGTTATATTTTGCAATATTAATATCTGTTATATTTTGCAATATTAATATCTAATATTAATATATTTATTATATCGTTATATTTGCAATATTATCTTAACTTTTTCGTCTAATTTACTTATTTGACTGCCGAATTCATTGATTATACTTTTTGCTAATATTAAAGATTTCTTTTGTGAATTTTGAACTCTATTAACCTTGTTACTTATATCTGAAATTTCTTTCTCGAATTTAACAGCATCGTCATTATCTAAGTTGCCGGTTATTGTTTTTACGATTGTACCTAATCCGTTTATTATTCCGCGTTTTACTCTAACTGGGGGAATCAAATATGCTAACTTCTTATTTATTAAACTTATACTATATAATATTAGATCCTCGTAGGACTTATATCTATAATTAGATGTTAAGGTATTTTCAACATCTTTAGTGCTTGCATATAATGCCATTAAATTCAAATTCATTTCATTGTTGCTACCTTTGTTTGTTGTGTTATACACACAAGCTAGGCTAAAGTACTCGGTCTGTCTAAGTAACTGTCCCTATTTGAGTAATAGTACGCCGTTATCATTAGTAATGGGATCCAGGGTCACTTTTGCGGTTCATGATTCCTGCGACGAGGATCTTGGAACAAGATGAGGCCTACGTAGTAACTTGAAGTGAACTCTTATAGAATTTGGGTGACTACCTATTATCGCATATATACCGCATAAACAATACAGCAATCAAAGAAGTAGACACTGTACGTGATCTTGGAGTAATTTATGATAGTAAGTTAACGTTTAATGCACATTTAGAAAATATAACAAAAAAAAAGCATCTAAAATGTTAGGATTTATCGTAAGAAATTGTCATTCCTTTCGTAGTTTCAAAACTAAATTATGGCTTTACAATAGCCTAGTCCGAAGTATCCTTGAATACTGTAGTGTAGTCTGGCTGCCGCATTACGCTACGCACTCATTACGTATAGAAAGAGTTCAAAAATGGTTTATGTGGCATTTGGCGTTTTCTGAGGGTAAGTCAAGAGAACTACGATCTTATGAAGAAAGACTTAATTATTTCAAGGTTAACTCTTTATCTCATAGAAGAGAAGTGCTTGATGCTAAGTTTGTGAGTAAACTATTAAATAACAAAATTGATAGCCCACAACTATTGAATTTGCTTAAATTTCGAGTACCTATAAGAATCCCTCGCAAACCTATTACACCACTTTGTCCACCACTAAGAAGAACAGTGCTGGGAAGTAATTCTCCTTATATTAAATTTTGCAAAACAATTAATCTTTTTAGCGATCAAATAGATTTTCAAGTTGACTCAATAGCCAAAGTCTCTTAAATAATATATACCTCACTTTCTAAAATTTGAATATATACATTTTACCTTATGTAATAAACATACCATAATTTAATTTAATTTATTTTACAGCTGTTTATTTTAAGCTACTTTTTATTTTTTACTATTTCATTATTTATGTTTTTAATTTTATATTTATTTTTATGATGTTTAACTGTACTTTCTGTGCTTATCTTTAAGTTATTGTTACACTTATACAAGTACTTTGTTTCTTTCCTTTTTTATTATTAAGATATAGTGTAAACAGTTGTTGATAGGCCTTTTAAAAATAAAAAAAAAATAAAAGAAAAATAAAATCTCTGCGATACTATTGGGGTGTAGATGGATTACCTTATAGGGTCCTTTGAAGACAGGCTTTGTCCTGTCATTCCGCGCTGTCTTTGCCACCTGCTTATATACTATTTCACTAACCTTGAAAGATACTTCTTCAGCATCTCGGCTTCTTCTCGCGATAACCTGTTCTATGTTACCGGACATGTAAGCTGCAATACACTCCTGTATCGCTTTTACTTTTATTCGGTGATTGAGTACATAATCCTGGTAGAATTCCTTCGGGTTAAACATTTCTAAGGTATTTCGAGATTCTGTGTGATCAAATAGCAGTTCATGTGGTTTATAGCCTGTTACGAAATGTATCCCGTTATTGTATCCTATGATCACGTACTTCATAATATGTTGAATGGGGTTGTCTTTGTTAGTTATTTTTTGTATATAGTTTAATTCACAACTACTATTTCTATTTAAATTTTTAGAGTAAATATCTAATCTAATAGGGGCTTTGTTTGAAATATATTTTTTTATCAGCTTTTAAGTTAATACCAGATCTTCTAAACGTCCCGTTCTTAACGTTAACTATCGCTGCGGGTGATTTTAAGCCATCAGACCAATAGAAATCGTGATATAAGTACTGTCCTTCTATGTAATGGGTCTTGAATGTCATTAACTTTTCGCCTCTAGGTTCTTCTTTAAGCTTTTGGTATGGGTAGTTAAAATATATCGGTATATCCGCTGTTGAGGTGTGTAACGAGTTATTATTTAAATTAATGTTACTTTTTAATTTTCGCAACAAGTCAAATCCGATTAGACCTTTGTATTTTGGATCGAAATCAAAAATTAAAAATTTATGCGTAATATTGCTATTAAACGCGGGTGGTAAGGGCAAATAGACCACATGATCATGACGCGAAACAGTATGTGCCGTTGATATTTCAAAGGGTTCATAATCTACACACTGTTCAAAGCTAGAATCACGAATAACATCGGGTGAAATAGTAGAGTGACTTGTTCCTGTATCTACTAAAAATTTACCTTGAAATTCAGGTAGCTTGATGTAGGGGTGGTGGTCTTTATCTTGGAAGTTCATCTCTACCAGCTCTGGTCGTCCTGTCTCCTCCAAAGGAGAAACCTGGTTGGAGTCTTGCTTGTTAAAGTAAACATCAGTATCGAAGTCATCGCTGTCGACCGGTTGAATACTATTCTGATACTCACCTTCGTTGGAGTATAATTGCGTATGGTTAGTCATCTGACTGGGAGTGTAAAAGATCTCCTCGGTGGTGAACTGCGGTCTTGGAGTCTTGTTTACAGACCTCATAATCACGTCAGAAGGCTTTTGATGGGTTACCTGTTGTTTAGTTATGTTTGGCTGGTCCCTGAAATTGCTGCTTCTGAAGTTGCCTGAGCCACCTGTTCTAAAGTTACCTGAAGTTGGTTGTGGTATCCAGGGTTGCATTGGCTGTACCCACTGCTGCCGTTGTTCAGGGGCTGCTCTATTATTGTGGCTAAAAAGGGGTTGTGGCATATGAAGCGCTAAATAAGTAGGCGCCATATACGGGTTACCATAATTTTGATATGGGTAATTAGGGTTCATTTTAAATAACTCCTTCGCCTTAGCTTGAAATGTTGACAGTGTATTAAAATTAGTGTCTTTATTATATTCAAGCCTAGCCTCTTCCTGTTTAGCCGCTATTATAGCCAGCTCTAACGTATCGGGTTTAGCGATTCTTAGTCCGAATGAGACATGGAAGTCTAATTGATCAATATATTGTTCTATGACCATGTTCTCATAGAATTTTTTATTGCTATGACTGCCTATCAAGAGTAAGGTGTCTAGCAATTCTCTAAGCCGTTTTCCGAAGTTCTCGGCATCCTCCTGTCTAGAACGGCGAGTATGTGTAAGTTCTTGCATCACCTGAAACTCATTTCGCGGTTGACGGAGTCCTCTAATAAGAGCATTTTTAATGGATTCCCACGTATCTAAATATTCCTCATAGGCTAAGGCTTCTACAGCGGTGTCGCTAAGCCTACTCTTAATAAGACAACTTACTAACGGGTGTGTCCGAGCATGTTCGTCTAGCAATAAATTCAGTATATTTTCGACTTCGCGAATATAGTGACTTAATAGTTTAGGATTCCCATCATATCGAGGCATTAAATCCACTATCAACTTAAAATGCGTATTGAAATCTTTTAAAGACATTGTTTCTCACTAACTTACGATTCCCGTTAACATAAAACAATAGCGATACGTATTAAGTACAGTAAATTCCTGATTCTAAGGAGTTTAATGAACAATGGAATGACGCTCGCGTTCGTTCAAAGTATCGGATGTCTCGTGCGATTGTAGCTAACTGACAAACGAACTGATGATAATTTTAAACAAAGTTATTGATTTTATTATGCATTTTAATTTGTTGTATTTATTTTAACTTCTTATTTAAATAATTTATTGTTGATCTTATTATTATAAATATACTAATAGAATGGGAAATGTCTGTTGCGATTAAAGCTTATAGACATACACACTCAATAAAAAAAAAATACCTAAATTAAGACAGGAAATAGAGCAGGAACACTTGGATAACTAGAGTACTTACCCCAGGATGTTCTGCATCTCCTGACGAGTCCTTGCCCGATCGCGCGATTGAGGTTCTTTAGGATCGCTCAAGGTACGATTTGAGAACCGTGACACAATCGTAATAGAAAATTTGATTCAATACGAAAGTGCTGCGATCCTACCGACTGCGCCAGTTAAGTAATCGGCGATCGGTATTCCAATAAAAAAAGATTTATTTAATTAATTACAAGGTGTTAACTGTATGACAATTTGGAATGGACTGATTTATAATTACAAAAACTTATGAACTAAAACTAATGGTGTCAGCGTTCCTTCGATGCGCCTTCGCCATGCTGAGTCTGCAGTAATCGCGGTTATGACGTGCTAACTTGTGTCTAGTTGTATTCTTTAACTTTGAGTGGTTTGATTTAGTTAAATACAATGTTGCGTATGATGCAAAGCATATTATGATTTAATAGGCACATTATCAGAGACACGTCATAAGATTACTTTTGATGAGTTATTAACCTAAGATAATTAATTACGCTTATAGTTAGTTTAAAACCCTGTAAATTTCGACCGCGGCACCGACCATCGTTTAAAGATAAGGTGATGTGAAGAAGAAAAAAATATGGTTTAGATTTATGACACGCGTTAGAACGCAAATCCTTTTGTTGTAGAAGATGATTTCCTGGATTTATAAATTTAATACTTTGCAATTTTTAATGTTAACGAAAAAGTTAAGAAAACGATGCATTAGGATTCTGAACGAGTAAAAATAAAAAAAAAACACTTAAAATTCATTTAATATATAAAATTCATTTAATATAATACCATTTAAGGTACACTACACACTACACCATACTGGTCGTCATGGCTTCAGTACCGAGGATCAGGGGTTTGATTGCCCGTACGAGACAAATATTCGGATCTGAGTATTTGTCCACGTGAAATTTGTGTATGTAAAACGTCTTATCAACGCAGGATAATGTTATCCTACAGTAAGGGGGCAATGTCTTCGAACGGAAGACTACAGATCTTTCCAGGTGGTCGTGGGGACTTACTACTCAACCCTTTCTACATAATGAGCATTGTAAAAAACAATGGTTTTAAAAGAAAAGAAAAAAAAAATGTTTATCGTTTTTAATCGCAGGTTGAACGGACTGTACCTTTTTACGCCTGACACGATTAATAAACTGCTGAACCCGACGGACACGGCGTATAGGACTATTTGCGAAGTGATAAACCTACATGTGAATAAGGTATGTATGTACAAGTGAGCAGAGCACCTATAAATCTCTATCACCTGTAGAACAAATCATCATCATCGTGAAAAAATAAAGATTAGTATTTGTAACAATTACATGGCTTGGAAAAATTTGTGGATTCGATTCCTACACGGGACATGTACTTGTGGGACCAACAGATAATTGGGTGGATCTGGGTGTTTCCAAAGAGAGTTGGCGTCTGTTGGTCGCCATCTTTAAAAGAAACCATGGTATTGGCTACCATTGACAACATCATTCAGATTTAGAGCCTATCCAGTTAGACAGGAAAGACAAAATACATTATGTTTTCGTGTATAAAGTTTAATTAGACTTGGGAAAAGATCAATTTTCACTAGAAAAAAATAATATTAAACTGTGTATTGGATGAGATAGTGTCCACTTTCCTTTAAAAGAAATGGACTAAAGTGTTATGCTATTTAATTTCTTATCACGTTTATGCTTGCTAAAAAAAATCACCTTACATTTCAATCGAACCTTGACTATTGACGTCTATGGATTACTTTGGCAAAAAGAGATGAAGGGGTCTATTGTTTCAGATTAAAATACCGCATTATTATATATATGTAATTCTCAGACCAGCGACGGTACGTGTAACGACACGATATCACGGGACACATTCCAAATAATGGTGGTGGCGACGCTCGTATACGGCGCGGTCGTCATGATGATCAGCCTCAGCCCAGTCCCGAAGAAGGTCCAGCTCGTCACCATGTTTGTGGTCGTCGGCGCCGCGTGCATAACCTCTGAGCTGACGACGAACAGGTGAGGACTGGAACGTAGAGCTAGCGAATCCGTTAAGCGGTCGTGTGGCCTGATAAGTAACTTTAAGACTTGTTTGTAACTTTAAGTACTTTAAATTTTATTAGTAAAATAAATTAAATTGGTAATTGCGATGACTGTACCGGCTTCGGCAACGGGGGTCGCGGGTTTGATTCCCACACGAGAGAACTATTTGTTGACACAGATAGTTGTTTCGCATCTGGGTGTTTGTCCGCGTGAAATTTATGTTTGTAAAACGTAAGGACAACACGGGATAATGTTATCCTAAATTAAGGGCTATGTTTAAAAAAAAAAAGGAACTTTAAGTATTATCACTGTAGATTGCTCGCTGGGGTGTCCATGTCGGCCTTACAGATGACAGCTTTGGGCATCGGGCCGCTGACTGCCTACGCTGTCCATCTGTTTCCAACAAACTTGAGGTTTGTGCAACTTTATTAAACGTATGTTATAAATGTCACTGTCACAATTATGTTAATCTATTTAGATTATAATCAATTTTATCCATCATGCAGCTTATATACAATGGGTTTTTTTATTTTATTACTTTTTTTATTTCAGGAAGTGGCAAACGAGCTGGTCGTTCACCTGATGTTAAGTGATAACCGCCGCCCATGGACATTTGCAACGCCCGTAGGGTTGCAGATGCGTTGCCACCTCTTAATAATGTGGACCCCGGCTACCTCACTCACCAGACGTAACGCAGAAGTGCAACACTTCTACTTTACGCCGGTCTTCTGTGAGGTCGTGGTACTCACCCGGACGGACCTGCCCACTCGCGCAACAGCGAACACTGTTGCGTGGCCCTGACACTGGTGTGGTGTTGAATGTAAATTTCGTGAACCTACCGTCTCCTATTTTAGAATAGTCCCAGCTTGTTGGAGATACAATCGTCATCCCGTATATTTCGTAGAAGTATAGGGCTTCGACTCTCGTGCACGAGGCGTCGGCGCTCACTTTCAAGTTTATAACACTCGATTAAAGCGAGTAGATATCCTGGTACCGGCATCAAAGAAATGTTGCAATTTCACTAGAACACGAAATGCAAAGTTATAAAAAGATGAACATTATAATATAATGTAAGAATAAACTACATTAAATTTTTCGACAAGATATTAAAAATAATTTTTAGACTTAATTAAAATAATTAATAAAATTTAAACGCTTTAAACGCTTTTTGTTAAATGAAACTATTTTACGTATTTTATCCCGTTTAATTAGATTTTTAAATTCCCAACGCATCAAACCCTTTCTAGCGTTCAATTCTCGTCTGACCCGTGATCGTAAAATAGTTAAATTTTGACAAATGTATTAATAATCTCGTAAAAACATGATCAAAATGCTTTTTGCAAATATGCCGTGAAGCCGATGCCTTTTAGCTTAGTACTAAAGCGTAAACAATACCGTTTAAACGTGTTAGTAATAGTTTAGTGTAATTAGTCTTACGGTGGTAGGGCCACGTAGCAGCTTCGGCTATTGCACGAATGGGCAGGCCCGTCCGGGTAAGTACCACGACCTCACAGAAGACCAGCGTAAAGTGGAAGTATGAGAAATACTTTCGCGTTTCGTCTGGTGAGTGAGGTAGCCGGAGCCCAATCTTCAAAAGGTTGTCAACGCATCTGTAACCCTCGGGTGTAGCAGATGTCCATGGGCGGCGGTATTCACTTAACATTAGGTGACCCGTCTGCTCATTTGGCAACTTTTCGCATAAAAAAAATTGAATTTGTGTTTGTTAACTGAAAGATTGGAGACTGAGCCGTGTGGAGTTCGCCATTAATTAAGAGTCATTATTAGTTAATCTCATGATGTTGTTTCAGATAAAATAAATAATTTGTCTATGTAAAGATTGATATCATATAGCGATAAGGTGATTAAAGCTGGTGTCGAGGAGAAAATTCTATGACAAACACTATGTTGACGTGTTGACTGCGAGAACTGTGGGAAAACCGAATTGTGGGATGTGTGCAAAATTCATCGTCGTCATCTCATTCATCAGCTTCCACTAGGCACTTTGTTTTTTGTGGACGTTACGTCTACTGCAGGTGACTGATAATCCTATCTTATAGAAGCGCCGTAAACGAATGGACAGAACGGCTTACATAAGTTTCTTATTTACTGTTTAAATCAAAAAAGAACAGCGTGACAGATAACATACAACATGCGCCAACGTAAAAGTATTATAAAAGATATAAGAATATTAGAATTTACCAAAGCGGAAAGTTCTGAAAGTGTGAAATTTCTTGTTAGTTCTTAGTAATGTTTCAGCAATATAATAATTCACGTAGCAGGTTCGAAAATGAGGTTTGATTATTGAGTGGGTCTAGGCTCTTCATCGTTATTTATTTATTTATTTATTGTAATAGATACACCAACAGTATATATTTACCACATATTTATACAATTTACAAAAATATTGGCACAAAAATTGGAACGTGATAACTCAGTGTCCGGGCGCTCGCCTTTAATTCAATATACTCGAGCAACCTAAGTTCGATCCCCGGTGCCGGCACCAATGAAGTTTTTAACTTTAAATGCTGAGTTATCACGTGCTCCGCGGTGAAGGAAAACATCGTGAGGAAACCTGGCATATTTTCGAAAATAATTACAAAAAAAGAATATTTTTCGAAGATGTGCTATAGGGTATTCTTTCATCTTTACGTGTCTCTGACTCAGTAATCTCCTGGTTTAATTCTTACCTTAGTGAGCGTACGCAGTGCACCATGATAATAATTTTTCTGAATGGTGTGATATCACTGTTGGCGTCCCTCAGGGAAGCGTTCTTTCTCCACTTCTCTTCTCCATTTTTATTAATACTCTAACTACAGCTCTCACTTCTCACTTTCATCTTTACGCTGACGACCTACAGTTATACATTAGAATTTTTAGAAATTAGAATACAGAAGAAGCTATTACAATGCTAAATGCTGATTTGAATAGTATTAGTAACTGGGCAAAGTCTTTCGGTCTTCTTGTTAATCCTACGAAATCGCAAGTCTTAATTATCGGCAGTTCATATTACCTTAAATTAATAGACTACTCCAAATTTCCTGCAGTGGTTTATAACAATGTTCAGATTCCTTTTTCAGACTCTGCTAAAAACTTGGGAGTTGTCTTTGATACTCAATTGTCATGGGTGTCTCACGTTAATACCATAAGTAAAAAGGTAAACTATTCTTTTTCAATCCCTCAAACGTTTTCAGTTCTTTTTGCCCTTGAAAACAAAGATAACTTTAGCTCATACACTTCTCCTTCCTATTGACTATGCTGATGTTTGTTTCCTTGACGCTACGGAGGTACTATTGAACAAGCTGGAACGCCTTCAGAACTTGTGCATAAGATTCATCTTTGGACTCCGTAAATATGATCATGTTTCTGAGTTCAGGGTGCAATTAAAATGGCTCTTTATCCGTAAACGTCAAGATCTACATATCCTTTCTTTCCTTTACTTTCTGCTGTTTAATCCTCTTGCTCCTCCATATCTTCGGGAACGCTTCGAGTTTCTCGTTCCATGCGGTACTCAATGCCGACGTAATAAATCTCTTCTTCTGAAAATTCCTTGCCACACATCTTGTCGGTATAGCGAATCTTTCACTGTGAAGGCGGTTAAGCTATGGAACTCGCTACCCCATTGCATACGGGCCAGTTCATCGCTTGAAATTTTCCGTAATAGAGTGAAAGTACATTTTTTATCTCCATATCGGCACAGTAAATCATCGGTACGTTATACAATTAAATTATTAATATTACTGCATTTATTTGTTACTATGTTTATTTTTATATTTATATATTTTATAGTATTATTTATTACATATTATTTTATAGTATTATACGTTTTATGATTTTGTTTACTTCTATTTTGCTTTTCTCTTCTTTATATATTTTGAGTTTAGAGTATAAGTATATCTAGTTTTACACACCTACCTATCATAATATAATGATTTGTTTCTCATCAATCTTATGTCAGGGTTTGCTGGAAGAAAACTCTTTTTAGGGTTAAGCTCGCCTTTGTACATTTTTTTTTGTAACTTTGTTTTCACTTATACTCTGTGTACAATAAAGAATAAAGAATAAAGAAGATATGTGAAGTCCGCCAATCCGCAGTGGGGCCGCGTGGTGGACTATGCCCTGATACCCTCTGTATAGAGGAGGCCTTTGCCCAGCAGTGGGACAGGTATAGGCTGTTACTTTACTTTACTTTTACATTTGTTGGTGTTCTTACATCAGAGGCACTGCTGTGGGTGCCGTGCTGATGTTCGGACGAGTCGGTTCCGTCGTCGGGGCCAACGCTGCTGGAGTCTTCCTCGCCAGCTCCTGCACCCTCGCGTTCTACGGATTCTCCTCTATGCTGTTCCGTGAGTGGAGAATGTACCTTTTGTTTAGTATACTGGTTTATTCCGAGTTAAGTCACTGCGTGTTACGCTACTACAAACACAAAAACGTCTTCAAGCTGATTCATCTAAAAACCATTGTTATCAAATAATAATAATATTCGCGTAAAATTCGTTTGCCGAAAAATTTAAGATAATTCTTTAATTCTTCGGCAAACTTTGCTATAATTCAAATAATTTTGCTTGTTTACCACATACGGAAACCAATGTTTGTTAATAGGCAGTTATTAAGAAAAATCGTCAGATCGTAATTCCAATTATTCAAAATTTCATTAATTTGTCTCCATAGTGTGTGCTGCCCTGAGCACTCTTCTGCCGAAGGACCATCGACCAAGTGATAGTTGATAAGGAAATTACCAAAAGGAGTTCTGGATTCTCGAAAATAAGTATAGGTTAAGATCGTGTGAATATATTTTGAATTTAAATTCTTAATTATTTTATTTTACTAACCACCTCCCCCCCCCCCCCCCCCCTCAAACAATCATAATCACTACATAGTATAAAAGAAAGTCGTCCCGCTGTCTGTCTGTCCCTATGTATGCTTTTTGCCTTTTGTTTACATCTTTAAAACTGCGCAACGGATCTTGATGCAGTTTTTTTTATTAGATAGAGTGATTCAAGAGGAAAGTTTACACGTATAATACGTTGCACCCGTGCAAAGCCAGGGCGGGTCACTAGTATCGTATAATTTAGTCTATCTTAGTCGGTTTCTAAAAGGGGCACCATTTCAGATACATTAAAATTAATGTATTTGCAGTATATCCATACAAACATAAGTAATTGATTATATTACACCAAAGATGGAAATCTTTATACACAAGATATGTGTTAGTACGGAGCTGGGGCAAGTCAACATCTCATAAGTTGGAAAGAATTTGACGGGGCAAATAACACCGAGTTCTGTTTTGCAAAAAAATTGTACAAAACTAGGTTATAGGTTTAATTGATCTAAATATTATGTCTAAAAAGTCGTGCCATATAAAACGATGCCGCATAATTATAATAATAAACTAATTTGGTTATTGCCATATCATCTGTTGCACTAATGGGCAGGCTCATCCGAGGAAGTACCACGGCCTCACAGACGACCAGCGTGAAGTGGAAGTTTTATAATTTCACGTTTCATTTGGTGAGTGAGGTAACCGAACCTCACTTTTTTAAAAGGTTGGTAACGCATCTGCAGCTCTGGTGTTATAGATGTCCATGGGCGATGGTGATCACTTAACATCAGGTGAACCGCCCGTTCGTTTGTCAACTTATCACATAAAAAATAAATACTAACTGTTACCGTATGAATTATGATCTTAGAATGAAACCGAACAAATGACGAAACGTCATAGATCTTATAAGATGAAATGAGACAGACAGACTTACGTACTTCATAATAAAATATGAATAAATCATATATTAAAATATTGCGATTGACGTAGCCGATAACAATCGAAATCCTTGGTAAGGTCGCAGGCCACAAAGGTCGCCATTGAAATCGTACCATGCGACATTAATTTTATTCCTGCATCTGCTCGCAATTTACCTTCAGCAAAACAGAATAGGCTCTAGTTAATTTGAATAATAGATCACTCAGAATATTCTATTTATTTTGAAAAATTAAGACTTAACTGTAAAAACATTTTCTTTTAAATATTTTATTTTGTTTCAATGATCTTTCCAGAACAATGGCATGTGTAAACAGCTGTTGATATAATATTGGGTATACATTTTAAATGAAGGTTTTAATAAATTTCCCGAATAGATGTCAATTGTGTAATACTTTTCTTGTTAGTTAATTTCTTGTTTTATGTTTTACCTAATAATGTTATCAAGGCATATGTCAATTAATTTAAAGTTGCTGATGTTAATATGAACATAAATTATGCTTCTAGATCACTAATACAAAGCTAATATAAATTTTTGCAACTGAAAAGAGCGCTGTTTATTTTCTCGCTTAAAGTTTAACTATTGGGCGAGGATATGCAATTAACGTCCTAGGCACCAATCCGTGTGGTTAAGTTTTGTCATAATGTATTATTTAGTTGGGATTTGCAAATATTTTTAATAGTTTTACTGTATATAAAATTGTTCATTTGTACTACATTGTCAATACAATGTCAATATGTACTGCAAATACTGATTAGTTTCACATATTTGTAAATTATCGGTAATCGTTTCACTTTGATGGAACCACGCAGCAGTTGATGTCAATGGGCTCCTCTAGAGACATTCCCCCGTCATTAAGACGATGGGCCTAAAGTAGGAGTTTCTATACATTTTACTCTATACTTCTGAGGTTACCTCTTTCCACTTTTTTAAACCAACACAACCACACCAGTTTTTCTGACCATCCACATTGTGACCGTTCATGACAGGCAGTAACCACCTAACATCACCTGATGTATCACTTTCTCCTTCAATATTCTCCTTTATCCTCAATTATAAACGCTACTTTCTCCGTCAATATTCTTCTTCTTCTTCAATTATAAACGCTATGTTTTTTTTACGTTAAATAAAAATTCTTTGCTTTTTATTACGCTTATCAGTTTATATATTGATAAGTTGCCAGGCAGTAGTCGGTTTTATTTCTTTGCATAAATAAACCCTAGCCTTAATATGTCAATATTGAAATCATAAATGACTGTGTGCGTGATTTTTTTAAAGATTTGGACTATTAAGAAAGGCACTTGATGGTGTTCGGTTTTCGAAATATCGTGCTACTGTTGCATATTTCGCGTCAGCTGGATCCAGTGGGTGTCCAATGAAAAGATTCTCCAACGTATCGGTATGGTGTGCAAAGGCTATGCAAATTAAAAAGAAAACGAAAGGTCGCGTACTACCTTGGAGAAGTGCTGCGCCGTCAACGTTTTAATGCATCTTATTCGTTTTGTATCGATTGCGATTCAAGATCCATCTTGCTTTAAGGATGTTCCTCCTGTACCGACAGCTTCGTTGGGTTCTCTTCCGATCTGCGAATACGGGGGAAAACACAATAGCAGTGGTCTTTGTACCGCTTAAACACATAACTGTGGTAAGCACATATCTGTGGTAAGTCCAAAACTGTAGTAAGCAGCAGCTTCGACTGTTGCTCGTGGCAAGCTCGTCCACGTAAGAACCACGAGCTCACAGAAGACCGGCGTAAAGTGGAAGTGTGACAAATACTTTCGCGATTCGTCCGGTGAGTGAGGTAGCCGGAGCCCAACTTCCAAAAATGTTGTCAACGCACCTGTAACCCTCGGGTGTAGCAGATGTCCATGGGCGGCGGTATCCACTTAACATCAGGTGACCCGTCTGCTCGTTCGGCAACTTTTCACATAAAAAAGGGATTACAGGGGCTCACGGAAAATCAGCGTAAAATGGAAGTACTGCACTTTCGCATTTCGTCTGTTAAATTAGTTAAACGGGGCCCACTTTGTAAAGGTTTGGTAATGCATCTGTAATGTCTCGGATATTGTAGATGACCAGGGTGGCGGTAATCGCTCAACAAGCCTGCTCCCTTTCAAACTTTTGATACAAGGTGTAATTGATATGGCAACTACACTTGGAGCCACGAAATATAACCAATAAGGAAGTAAAGTGACAGTTTAATGTTAATTAATGCTATGTTAAAAGTATTATTTGACATTCAAATGTATTTGTCTGACTACGATGGAAATAAAAATTATTTAAATATTCCAAAAAAAAAACAGCACAGTGCAAAACACATTCACGATTTCATCTAAGTAATGGTGATATATATTAAAAGTTTTTATCAGTAATTTTAACGTCAACATTGTATGCTTGCACGTTGCTTCTGTAAACATATTCTTCATCTAGGAAAATATTACAGGTTCTTAAATTATATACGATGCATTTCGTAACGTTTTAAATCTTATTATAGATAAAGAAAACTTACACGATAAGGGTGAGTCATCAAGAAGTAAAAAAGGCCATGACAATGCATTTTGTGATGAGTTATAATTATTTGGCGCGTTTGGGAAAATTTTAGAAAAATGCGAGTGAATTTATACGACACATAAAAGCGACACCAATTTCACGGTGTTACCATGGCAACCAAAAAAGCTTTTGGACATTTACCTACATCCAAGCGTATCTAATTAAGTCATTATTAATTGCATTTAATATATTTTTTTCACAAACAAAAAATACTGGCAGGGGATAAAACTGACTTATTTTCCTTTTGTTAAGTTAAAATTCTTATGTGAGTACATAAGTACATACGAATCTTATACGTTATATATTTATAAGGAACTGCCCAGTGCCTGAATGCTATACATCACCTGATGCCGAGTAGCATGCAGTCGTAGAAGGTAAACGCTAAATACTAGCTCAGGCTTCTAGCCTTTTTACTCTTAAAGTTATTAGATAAATTGACGAAAAATTTTTTCGCCGCTGCCAGTATGCAAACCTGTGCCTTCCAGATGAAATGACCAGACGCTCTAGCCACTAAATAATCCTTTTTTATGTGCGTTTGACAACTCTTCATAATAAAAAATAACCGCCGTCTTACTTTGGAATTGTATTAAAGGACTCATTGAACAACCGAAACATTAACGCTAAATTGTATAGTAGAGTGACAACTTCCAACTACCCGAAGTGCTAAGAACAATATTCTATCGCTTCTAATTATTTATTATCGTTTTCCATATTATAGATTATTGAGTAAATACTGATACCGTGTAAATTGCACGTTTCCATTCTACTCTATTGTCGTATTACGATGTTTTTATTTATTATCAACAGTAGTCAATCTCACAATCTAGGTTCTATCCAATATCGCATCAATTTAATTATATTTCCTTTCGACAGATTTTTCCCTTAATCATTAAATCTTTTCCAATTTTAAATTGCAATTCTCTTTATTTGGTTGCCACAACATAGTCGACAGCATCATAGGTTATACAAGAAGAAGAAATAACTAGATAATTAAATTGATAAATATAAGTTTTATTTCTTACACTGGATGCGTCAAAGGACTGTGACAACTTTTGTATGCTGTGTATGGGGCACTATGTAGGCCTCTATCATCTCCATAAACTATATACCAACTTATATATACACTTTAGAACTAGATCTAGAACTTTTATGTAATGATCTACCGATTTTTATATAAAACTAAATATTCAAGTACAAAATATGTCTTACTTCTAATAACCCCATATTCTAACCTTATTTGTGTTGATATGTTCGCTATGGCATGACAATACGGCTAGAATGATTTTTACGAAATTTTCAGCCAATCTTCAGCGAGAGAAACCATGGCGGGTCTCTAGTAATTTATTTAATTTATTTTATTATATTTTATTATATATTTAATTTATAAGGATACAAAATTAGCTAACTGACTATATCAGAGACATACGTAGCTGTGAATACTTAAGAATTCTATTAGAGTAAAAATTAAGTTACGAAACACAACACATCTTTTAATTATAAACCATCACCAATTAAAAGAACTTCTTGCAAATATCATTTATCAAAAGTAAACTTTAATAGTCATCCCCGCTTATAAGATTCGGTGTATAATATAGTCATATGTAATATAGTCATATTTAATAGCCCGTACATATTCATATGCACATTCAATATGCTATAGTTATTAAGTTTGAGGTAATTTATCAAATTTTAGTACAACAATAAATTCTCAGTGCAATTTTTGTAGTTTAAATGAGATCTTTGTATTTTAATTTCAATGGATTTATTTTTAGATATATTTATAAATAGATTCATTATCACTTTATCTATAAGGTCTTTTAGATTGCCCTCGATAATGAATAATCAACTTATCAGAAAAACATAAAAACACGGTGTAAGGAATGACATTGTTCCATTTCTTTGTTTCGTGTTTCTGACCCCAATATTGTAAAGTATTGTAGTATATATATTATTTAGTATTTTAGATATATTATTTACGTTCATGGCACCTAAATTTAATAATTCATTATTATAATACAATATAAATAGACTAAAGATATGAAAATGACTCGGCGGTGCAGTGGCTAAGCTATTGGTTTCGGCACCAAGGGTCGTGGGTTTTATTGCCACATGGGACAAGTATTTGGTTGACCAACATATAATATTTATATGTTTGTTTGGAGTATGTTTTATCTGGATGTTTGTTCTAAAGGTGGGAAAACCACTCATAACATGGGGAAAATGTTATGAGTGGAATGAAAATGTTATGGGAGTATACGCATTTTTTTTTAAGTTTAACGAATGCTGTACCAAACAATTTGGACATTACTAACGAGCTTTTGTCTTTTTTATTGTCTGAATTTTATGTGATCTGAATTTTATTAATCAAAGAATTCGTACCAACATCACACACAGCAATCGCATTTTACATTGACAATAGTTTTAAATTGTTTAATTTTTATTCAGATTATTTAAAATACGCATCTAATTTGCGTTCTTTCAAGAGCGGTTAAGTAATTTTATGGTGCTGTTATGATTTGAGAGATGCTATCAAAACAATATAGTTAAGCATCTGGCGAGGCATCATATTAGGGCGAGGATAAGGAAAGCCACATATAATAACTGTCGCAGCGGAAAGTGATCAGTTGTGAATCGCTAAACGGGGGCGCGGACGCCCGAGCGACGCCATCTTGAGGGCGTTTCGGGAATTAAATTTATGAAACAAAAACACGGAAAGGTTCGAATACAAAAGGTCAGTGATATTTAATAAAAAAAAATTGTGTGTATAAATTAATTTCAAAATAAAAAAATTAATTAAAAACATAATATATAATAAAGGTAAGTAATATGTTATTGTTGCCGTGATTTTTTTTGGGGTTTACATTTAGATACCGTTTAATTTAGATTACAGTACAATTTAAAAGTTATTGCATTATAAAAGTAAAAGCAACAATAATTTCGTTGATACATAAAAAGGTCCTAAAACGGAGTTAAAACGTTAAAAACTCTCGGCGGTCGGTTGTAATTGGGCTGGCAAAGGTCGACGCGATTATGCATCGATTTTTATTGATTGTGGATTGGGGCTTAGTCCGACAATCGACTGGGCTATTATGATTTACATTAAAAAATTGTAATCCATCTATAATTTACACATCATAAAATTGTAGGTACTTTAATGGAAAAAAATACTCACTAAATGGACCTATTGTAGTAAATTAAGCTTTATTGGTTACTAGCTGCTGCCCGCGACTACGTCTGCGTAAAAAAGGCTGAAGGCGTAACATTCAGACAGAAAGACATACATAAGATATGTATATAAATTATAGCCTATGTCTTATTCTGATGTATAAGCTATATTATTATAAAGTTTCACTAAAATCTATTCAATAATATTTACCTGAAAGAGTAATAAACATCCATCTATACATACAAACTTTCGCCTTTATAATATTAGTAAAAAAATTAAAAAAACCGCGGGTTTTTTAGCGGACCTAATTCTTTTGATAGGGTTTGGCATTACACTGTTAAGAAACAAATAGGATCAAATAAAGAAACATTGTGTAAATTAAGTTCATAACATATCGGCTTATTGGCTGCAACGTATGAGTAACGACTTAAGGTAATGGGTTGCAATCTAATGAACGACTTTTGTTTTCATGTGCTAAAATTGATCTCTTAATGTGTTGATAAAGAAATAACATTAGATTAGACAGAAGCTGAAGGAGTGATTGACTATGAATTAAAAAGATATTAATATTAAAAATTCTAACACTTGTAAAATGAAGAAGGTCTTCGAAAACGTTTAGTAAGTTCAGGAACACTACAAGAAACCTACTTACATTTAGTATATTTATATGTATAAGTGACATATTAAGTAGCTATTCAATTAATAGAAAAAGGCTAATTCATACCGTCAAAGAAAACGCGTCAACTTTCAATCAATATACAAAAATTAGCTAGCAAAATTAATATTATTGCACAAAAAAATATTCCAAGTTTTATTGACGGTTATTTCCAGAGCACAGGTGGATTTAAAAATATGTAATCTTTGTGCAACAAATTAATTTAAAACATTTAATATAGTTGTTGAAAAACGTTTAGTAAAAATCTACCGTCATAGAGTGACTATATGTTGATAGATAGATAACGATTAAAGAGATTATTATGGAGGTCCTTATCTCAACCAATCAGTTAGCTTATTCATTATTTTTGTCTAACCGTCATACTAAACAGCTTTCACTGTGGTAGGGACACGCAACAGACGAATGGGCAGGTCCGTCCGGGTAAGTACCACGACGACATAAAAGACCGTTGTGAAATGGAAGTGTTATACTTCTGCCTTTCGTCTGGTGCATGAGGTAGCCGTGGCCCACTTTATAATATGGTGGCAAGGCATCTACAACCCTACGGGTATTGCAAATGTCAATGGGTGGCGGATATTACGTTTGAAAAGCCATTAGACAGTTGGTTAGTTAATTTCTGCGATGATCAGTGTTCCGAAACCGGGCATAATCTTTAAATACCCCAGCTGATATTGGTGATTGACTGAAGGGTTAAAAGTTCATTCAGGTCACTGGCTGGATGAAATGAAATTATAAGGTTCACCTAGATAATATTCATATTTTAGAAATAAGGATTAAGAATGCAAAAAGAAGCTTTTGGTCATACAAAAATGACCATTTAGGACACGGCTTAAATATTATTTACACATAATATAATCATAAACCCCAAAAAAAGTAAAGTAACAGCCTATAAATATCCCACAGCTGGGCGAAGGCCTCCCCTGTACAGAGGGCATTAGGGCATAGTCAACCACGCGACCCAACAGCGCATTGGTGAACTTCACATAACTTCAAAATATTTTTTTATTATTACTTCAAAACTAAGCTAAATGGTGATAGACAAAAAGTTCAATGTAAATATTACAAGTATAACTGCACAATCTTCTGTACTGAATAATACATTTAGGTAGGTATACAAAAGTAATAAAACAGTATTTTTGCATTTCGCAAACATTTTGCATTTTGTTGCATCACTTACAAGGAAACCACTAAGAAGTTTGAATAACGCGAAACGCAGTGTCGAGTTGTCTTAAATATTTATGAGTGAATTCAGGAAAACATTTTTATGGGCTCAGAGCCAAATAACCAAACAAAAGGAATAGATACTAGTGCTGCCCAACAGTTTTGCTGCACCCACTTCTAGGTTACCTTTGCCGTAAAAGAAAATTAAAATATTGTTACTTTTTTGTTACCAATTGTTCCTTTAGTTAATATATTATAATTGTCTTTACTCGTACTTTATGGGTTTCGTAATCCATACCCAGTTTAAAAATATACCACTCCGTTGTGTTAATGTGCAATTATTTTAATTTCTTCGTCAAGTGAGATCGTATTCACACAACAGAAACATATATTTTTCAGTAGTTCATGGCTATGTTTGGATGCAGCGAAATCTGTTCGAAAGTGCACGATAACGTCTTCATATTTTTTTCTAGGGCCAGAACGAAACGCATCAGTATTGTAGTAAGATGCCGGCCAGTTACATACACAGTCGAGCTTAAAGCGCACTGGTAGCTAGATCTTGTAAGCTATTGACACTGTATGTTAGATTTGCGAGGCCTGTATACAGACGGATGATATAAATTAGCTTCAGACAAAGCCTGAAAACCTTTCTTGTGGTTTTCTACCTAGTTGATAAATTTTACGTTTAATTTTAATTTTTTTAATTCTACTCTCAGATATCAGCCGCTTCGTTGAGTTGACGAGAGCGTCTAGGCACAGGTTGGAATCGCTCAGCGCCGGAAAATTATTTGACAACTTATCTGCCAAAAACTTAATTTACACTTTAAAACTTTTATACTATTTCCCTTCTTATAAAATAAGTTTCTGGACGCGCAAAATTCAAACTGCTCTGGACGCAATGCCCTTGGCTTCAACGCTGAAAGTAGTTTTAAATAATACTTAAAGTGATTGTATTCATTGCGTAATATAATTTATTACAGCACAATAATTTGCTTTTTATTTAATGGTTATTTATTATATTTAAATAATATAAACAGATAATATTGACCGCGTTATTATCAGTATCGTAAATTGGTTCACTATTTCGCATGAACATGTGGTTGCCAATAATTGACCTTAATTGATACTTATATGCGAAGCTGCTGACCAAGTGAGTGCATTATGGGATTGGATAAAGAGCGTTCGATTAGCATAGAAAGCGTTTTCTGATAAATCATATATATTTTTACTTGTATTCTCCCCTCAATTCATCCAAATTGTTTGAAATTTTTCAAAAAGAAATTTGGTTGTATTTACTTATACTCTTGTTTAGTGCCCTCGGTATAATAATAAAAACATTTAAATACATGTTATATATATTAAACTATGATCACTCGTTGTCGGAGTTGTCTTGTCAAGCCATTGGCTTCGGTGTGGGTGAAGTAGATTCGATTCTCACACAGGGCATGTGTGTGTCACGCACAGATAATTATTCCGGATCTGGGTGTTTATTCCCAAGGAAGGTTGTCGTCATGTCGTACAACCTTTTATTTACATGCTTTTACCTTTTTTTATTTGACTTTGCTGAAGCTGTTCGCCTCTACAAGCCCTCCATGCAGCCACAGAGCAACTCCCATCTCCACCAGGTAAAGCACGCCGGAACTTTCGGCGCGCCTTCTTACTAAGCTCCTTTTTTACGGCCAACGATCTACCCTGAGTTTGCTGACCATAGCAGCCAGGATAGCCAGTGATGATAAGCAGCAACCCTGGTTTGTGGATCCGTCCCTCGCCACATTTCACGTTCTACACGAGAATTGTGAGAGAATTGCGTATCGCAATACTCATCTACTTCCTCGGCGGCCCCACCACCACTGGATCACTGGTGCATTCCCGCCGAGTCGTGGAGGATAGAAAATGCGGCCATATCCACATTGGCCCCACGACGCAGGAGAGAGAAGAGTACAGATTAAACTATGCAATAAATTAAACCATGAAATTAAAATTTTATTGAAAACCATCGCTTTATTATAATAATAATAATTATTATTATTGTAAGGCGTAGGGAAGTGACGACCCCATCGCCCACCGGCGTAACAGTTTATATGACAAAACTGTTACGTCGGCGCAATTAGTCAGCGCCTTGCCAACAGGTGTTTGCACCGTGCCTAGGCAAAAGTGAGGGTGCATAGGCCCGTCTGTGCGTTCGGCCACACTACCGAAAACGGTGCCGGTCTGGGGGCGTCTTCCGTTAAACGACGCCCTACTTAAAATGGATGATGGAAAATAGAAGAACGCGCATAGGGCCGCTGCCTGGGGGCCGCCAGGGCGCGTCTGGAGCTGGCGCTGGACGTGGCAGCATGCGGGACGCCAGCCGAGCGCGGGGTACTGCACGACCACCAAGCAGTACCTCGCATCCATCATCCCCACCAGTTGGCTTGGTGTCGGCAGGATCCTCTCGGATCCAGCAATCGGCACCCGCCGCTGGTGGAATACGCCGCTTGCGCTGGACGTCTATAATGAATCAGAACGCAATGCGGGCGTATTTTAGGGCGAAAGGGAGTGAAACTGGAGGGTTTGCGTATCGGGCAAGGATGCATCGCGTTTTTGCTGAGCTGGAGCCATCTTTAACCGTCACCGAGCAAAACCTAGCAGACAGAGTTCGGTACATCATGCGTTCAAAAGTATTTGATGATGCCGAGCTCGAACGACTTCGACGTGAGGCTGTTCCCTCATCGAATGAAAATGCAGT